TCTTATATATGTATGTATGTATGTATGTATGTAAGGGCGTGTGTGTGTGAACTTCTTTGTGTACATACAATGAAAAAATGCAAAAAATAAAATAAATATAAAAAAAGTTGATTATTTATGCTGTACATTAGATATATGATGAACACTCACAATTTGACAAATCCGTAGATGATGATGATGATGATGATGATGCATGTTAGTGATGATGTGTATGATGATGCATGCTAATGATGATATATATGTGTATTAGGATGATGTGTATGATAATACATGTAAGTGATGATGTGTATGATAATACATGTTTAATGATGATGTGTATGATAATACATGTTTAATGATGATGTGTATGAGGATGATGTGTATAATAATACATACATGTTTAATGATGATATGATAACACATGCATGTTTAATGATGATGTGTATGAGGATGATATGTATGATGATACATGTTAATGGTGATGTGTATGGTGATGATGTGTATAATAATACATGCATGTTTAATGATGATGTGTACGGTGATGATGTGTATAATAATACATACATGTTTAATGATGATGTGTACGGTGATGATGTGTATAATAATACATGCATGTGTAATGATGATGTGTACGGTGATGATGTGTATAATAATACATGCATGTTTAATGATGATGTGTACGGTGATGATGTGTATAATAATACATGCATGTGTAATGATGATGTGTACGGTGATGATGTGTATAATAATACATGCATGTGTAATGATGATGTGTATGATAATACATGTTTAATGATGATGTGTATGATAATACATGTTTAATGATGATGTGTATGATAATACATGTTTAATGATGATGTGTATGAGGATGATGTGTATGATGATACATGTTAATGGTGATGTGTTGTATGATGATGATATGTATGATGATACACGTTAATTGTGATGTGTATGGTGATGATGTGTATGATAATACATGTTTAATGATGATGTGTATGACGATACATGTTAATGATGATGTGTATGATGATGATGTGTATGAGAATATATGTTTAATGATGATGTGTATGATGGTACATGTTTAATGATGATGTGTATGAGGATGATGTGTATGATGATACATGTTTAATGATAATGTGTATGATGTTACATGTTGGACATATGTATGTATGTATGTAAGGGCGTGTGTGTGTGAACTTCTTTGTGTACATACAATGAAAAAATGCAAAAATAAAATAAATATAAAAAAAAAAGTTCAGGAATCATTCCTGGTCTGCCCTAATTTTCTAATAAATAATGGATATATTAATAATCCCAACTTGAACCTCTATCTGACAGAAGAAAACTTAGGAAACTTTCTCTCGGGTATAAAATCTACAATAAGTCAGCACCTTATATAACTAACCTGAATCCTCCTCGAAATAGTTATCAAATAAGAACAGCTGAAAATTACACCATTCCGTACTTCCAACTGTCTAGTTCATATCTATCTTCTATCCTCTCTTCTATAACACTTTGGGATGGTTTACCAAACAATGTCAGAGAACAGCCATCCGTAATCGGTTTTAAGTTATTGATTCACCGTAGCCAAAATGACTTGTTACCTAGGTTTTTTTTATGTTGGAAATCGTTCTCTAAATTGTTTGACATACGTGATTGCATCATTCATGTAGGAGTTTAAAGCATCATTTGTATAGAGTAAATATTGTGAACGATCTAACATACGTAAGTGGCAATGGGTGTGAAAATGTAATTCATTGCCTGTTTGATTGTATACTGTATACACAACAAAGACAAGTTATGATAAATGGTATCTCACGTTACTGTAATGTTTTTCTTTTGATGTTATTCTTTCTGTTTCCTCAAATCTTTCTCATGGAGATAATGATTTTTTTCTTTTAGTTCAAACATACATAAAAAAGAGTAAACAATTTTAAGGTTAGTAGCATATTCATATATTATGTCATTACAAATCTATTTCCTACTCCATTCTTCTTCCTTCCTTCATTCCTTCATTTCTTCTTTCCTTCCTTCCTTTCTTCCCCCTTTCTTTATTCGTATATCTATATATTGGATTAAAAACTGTTATTGCTGTTATGTAACTTGTATAATGAAATATTTTTGAGAATACGTTTTTAAGTTGTGCCTTATTCTTTTTGGTATACGACAATAAAATATGTTTAAATCAAATATAATTTCGAATTTTGAAAAGACTTTTTCGACTTGGCAAATATTCCAATCTTCTAAGACATGTTGAAGAAGACTTTATCAGAAGGATCATCTGCAAACAGACGAACAGCTAACTCAAAGACATCTGAAATAACATTAGTGTATATTAAAGACAGCAGCGGGCCAAGAATGGAACCTTGAGGAACCCATGCTTATTCAGAGTAAGAGTTATATAAGAAAACTTTCTGTCGTCGATGAATGACTTATTTTATAATCAGGTATATAGTTCACCTTGAAGTCCGTAAAATTTTAACTTCATCAAACCTTTATGCCAAACCAAAATCCTTTTAAGTATCACAGAATACCATACAAACACGTTTTTCCTTTCTTTTCTTTTCCCCTTCAAGAGAACACAATAGAAATACCATGACAAACAATTATGTGATAAACTGTGTAGGTGGTTTAACATTACTATCAAAATAAATACATACATGTACACAAAATGGCACATTGAAAAATAAGTTTGAAGTTAAGACAATAGTGCCAGTGGACGTAAAACCAGTTAAATAAATAAATAAAAATGAAATATTAAATGTCGATTATTCATCACTTTGAATAAAACTGAAAAATGTTATTGCAAAGACACACATATAATCACATGTACCGATAGGATTGACCACTAAGTGATATCCAAGACTGATTCGCAAAAACAAAACAAAATATGATAAGTCCCAATACATTTCCCAACTATTCTAAGCCGTTTCCATTTTAATTGCACATGTTAATTTCCGATTTATAAATATGTATGTTATAAGCTGTTTCACGGGTCCACTCCAAAGTTCACTTATCCCGACGTACAAACTTGTCTATTTACTAGATACAAGTAAATAATCAATAAAACATTTTTCAATTTAATTTCATCCGCTGACATTGTCTGTTTTGTTATCCAATTTGATTACAAAATATACAGATGGGTTTATCAATTTAATAAGAAAGAGACTTAAGTAGATATATTATTATATTATATAATCCCGTACTTAGAATAGACACACAAACCCAAATCTGTGTGACAATATAATATCTATAAAGCCAGTGCAGTTTTCAAAAATCAGACTTCTGTACATTTAATTCGTAAGTATAAATTTGCTTTTAATTACTTCCGTTCGCGTCAACTTTTTTTTATCAAATGTTCTTCATTAAAATGTTAAAATAGGAAAAGAACTGATTATCAAAAAAGCTTATACCCAGTAATCGGCTGCATTATTCATGACGGGTCACCATAACATTGTCGCTATAATTATCATCGTTATCTATCGCTAGTAAATAGTATAGCACGTGACTTAGATTTTAGAGTAGTCGACACGCAACGTTGACTGTGAACTTTGCTTTGACACGGAAATAATTCTGAATGAATTACTTAGCTCTGACGCCATTCAGTGATGCGGATATCGATAGTAAATGCGCGATGAAAATAAGTTCCGCATTCTAACTCAGAATAAAACAGAAATGCAGGTTAACATTTTTTGACAAGAGAAGAAATTATATTTGTTTCTGTTTTTCATGTTATTTATGTAGAGACAATATATACAGATTTGCCAGATTAATTTCCGTAGATTGAATATATTTGCGTATGAATTCAAGAACTACTTCTAATACTCTCTCACCCGGTGGCCGCCATCTTGGCAGAAGACGAACGAACCCACAGACACGCAGCCACCGGTTTTACCGGTTTAACTTTGATTTAGATAGTAAATCATCTTTTGCGAGAACTCATAAGGGGATAAAGGGAAGACAATATGGCAACGCTGCTTCCCATACGGTTTCAGGAGCATTTACAGGTATTTTTTTCTGTATGATACACCGGCTCGTTTATGTACCAGGAGGAAAACACGCCCCTCATTCTAGGTTTATGAACAGGTTTGCGTTGTTATGAGTTTCTAAGGATGCTTTCATCTTATGTTATAACAAGTAGTGATAACATTTTCTACATACGAAGTCTAAATGTATTTTATATCATTTATATAGCCAAAAATCGGTGTATACCCGGCTCACAGGATCGATGATCTGGCAGTCTCAACTACCGGAAATAGTATTTGTCAACCTTTGTAAAAACCGGAAGATGGCAAAAACGTATTTATTTTGTACGCTTTTGAGTTTTTGTGTGCACATTCGAAAGTAATTATTCGTTATTTCGACCCAGTGAAAGCTGCAACTTCGTTCTCTTCCGGGTTGACGTTTTTGTTACGCCCCCTAAAACTGACCCTTATCGGCTGTTCTTAGATTAAGCTTTGTAATTTGTCACTGCCATTTATACAGATTCTGACTCATATGTTAAATGTGAACATTTATGAGTGCATTTGATTAGATGATCGGGCTAAGTTTGTGTTCAGACTTCTATTTAGTCTTGATTTTGTGATTACATTGTGGTACATGGAAGTTGGATAAACTGGTCAAAGTTTTGGGGGTGTGGCCTTCACCAGTGAAAGTTTTCTTCATATAACTGTTGCATAGTGAAGATCCTGGACTAGGAACAATCTAGTTGATACTGTTAACACATCAGTGTTGAAATGTGTTGTGTGAAACAAAAACAATGCATTATGCCATGTATTTTCATGTCTTTTGCTTACCAAGAGAATTCCAAAAAGAACCAAAAAACATGAAAAACTTGGTTGCTTAAAGATATATTTAATACGAAGTGTGTTCTAATACATGAAATAGATTGGTAGCTGAAAGAAAAAAATATTACTTTAAGACTTTTTTTTTTTATATTTATTACAATGTTTTATTACAATGTTATAGAAGGATCACACCCAAATATTATTGAAAGAATAGTTTTAATTCTACTTCTACCAGATGCCATTTATGACTTCCAATCTTTTCCAAGTGTTATGATATAACTTAATTATGATGTCAACCTTTTCAAAATTTTTGTGATAAATACACACTGACTTTTAGTCTGGTCAAACTTGAAGGAAAATGTTGGAGTATAAGACTGTCATTGTCTAGCTATATATGGTAAATCAATCATTTGGAAAAGATCATTAGAAATGATAGTGAAGAGGTCATTCAGTTTACCCAGTAGCAATTAATGAAGCACTTGACCTTTTTTATCTTTTATATATTAAAGGTATTATTCAGTTTTCAGCTGATGTGCAGTTTTTTAGTCCAATACACTGAAGTACTTATTACAGAATTTTATTTGTTCCAAAGACAATAATATGATCCATACACTGTATAGTTATAGACAGGGCAAACAAAACTATTTTTAAAATCACTTGTATTTAACACTTAGATGAGATTGTATATCAGTTTGCTGATAACAAGCTGAGCAATGTTATTCTGGAGCAACCAAATTAAGATAACACTAAGCCACAATCAGTTAGATCTCTTGTTTATGTGATAACTTTTCAGCGTCTTCACTAGCAAGTTAGACAAAAACCTTTGATCAATGAGTCTGATATTCTGGGTCTTAGAACGCTCTTCCTAGCTCAGTAGATAGAGATGACTGTTTATATACAGTCTGATATCTTTGGACTAAGGACACTATCTCATTGGGTAGATATGACTTTTCTTTTTTTACGGGTGATATTTTGGGGCTAAGGACACTATCCACAGTTAGTGAGTGGCAGTGCCTTTTGTATATATCTAAAATTGACTCTTGAAGTCTTTTGTGTATGAGAAATGTGAATGTATTGGCTAGGGATAAAATTGAGCCAAAATGTCCAAATATCAACAACAAAGCATAATGCATTCAGTACAGTAAGTATATTTATGTTGATAGGTTTTAGATTTTAATTACTTGATGTTCATATAATGTAATAAATCACAGAAGTTCTAGCAGTTTGTCACCTCAACTTTCAAACAGAATTTGGAGGGATTTTGTGGTGGTGCAATGTTTAGATAGTTTTAATGTCTGATGGATTGGGTGAGGTAGATCAAGAGTTTGAAGCATTGAAAATCTCATCATTCCGAAGTTGTGTTACAATGTACAGTTAATGGTCAAACCTAGTATACATCATGTATTTTCCTATTTACAAATTTTTTATCAAACTGTCATAATTTACCAGACTAGAAGTCTGGCCATAATAATATGAAACTAAACATTATGGGATATGAAATTGTAATTGACGACTATTTTTTCCATCATGTTAATAAGGACAGGGCCTGAATTGGTCAAAAATTTGCCGAGAAAATTCTTTGTATTGATTTTAACTCATTTTAAAAAATCAACAGAAATATGAGAAAGATGTTTGATGGTGGCAACATAGAATGGAGGTGTAAGATCTGTCAGAATTATTAAATGAAATTGAATGATACATATTAATTATAGATATTACTCCCAGGTGGACGGTCAAAACTGGCTGAGATTGTCGATACTTTCTCATTGAAGTTCAATCTGCTTTCTCCAAAGACTTTAGATTCTCCCATATTATCAATGACCCAGAATTATCTGTAATATCACTTAGAGGAAGGTCAAGACTAAACGAGACTGTAGGTACAAAATACTGACCACACTGAGGAAGGTAAACACAGGCCGAGATGATACTACAGTGCTGTTAATGCCCATTGATGACATTGGGTTATGGTTGTAGTGTGTAGAGCTGTGATGGATATTATTGATTGACTGTTAGTGGTAGAGCTGTGTACACTCCACTGTGATCAATGCTTCACAACACAGGGACTGTGTGGAGGAGTAGATCATCCTTGTACTACTTGGTGTAGGGGTAGCATTGATTATAGGCTTAAACAAAACTGCCATGTACTTTTACTTAGCATTCTTGCCCTTCAAACGTTATCAAGGTCAGTGGACTGGTACACTTTACATTTGGTTAATTTTGAGGTCAAATCCTGCATTCTAAAATCCATCACCCAGAGACAAGACTTGCATTTAATTTGAAGTCTGAGCAGTCTATTTTAAATAGGGTTAATGAATGAAGTTCAACTGTATGAAAAAATTAGTTGTATCATTATCATAATTTCAGGCTGTCCAGAGTCCCTAAAATTCCTAAAAAAAATCCTAATTTTTTTCAGTTTTGCTAAAATTCCTTAAAAAAAATGAAAAATTCAATGGGAATTCCTAAAAAAGCCATAATTTTTCACTTCAGTTCCTACTTTTTTTTTATATTTCTTACAATTTACTGAAAATGTTTTCATTAAATTCATACTTAAAATATGTTTTAATGAAGTCTGTAGTTCTAATTCAGGGTAGACAATGAAAGGCAGTTGTCCAGTGGATATATGTACCCAGATTGTTATTGGTTGTGACTGAGTGACAGAGGTGTGATTCTTAAGGTCACAGCCAACAGCAGCTGGGACACTGAAACCCTGGAAGACACCTTTCCTGCAATTAACGCATTGTATGTTAGTTTCTATTTTGTCAAATTTGCAAAGGTAAGTCAGTTTAATGTTTTCATACCCCCTATTCTAGTTGCAAAAATCCTAATTTTAGCCCTAAATTTGCCATAAAATTTTGTAATTTTAGCCCTAATTTTTTGTCAAGAAGTGCTGGACAGCCTGTAATTTACCTAAATAGACAGTCTTCTATGGTACTTACACAGCTGTAACTGGCTCGTCAATGTGACTCGGTCACATTCCTCATCATTTTAACCCCACCCCTCTTCTTGGTAATCCACAGACAGCTCCACCCCTCATTATTGTAACCCACAGATAGCCCCACCCTCATCATTTTAAACCATAGACAGGCCCTCCCCGCATCATTGTAATTCACAGACAGTCCAATCCCTCATTGCTATTCACATTGAGAAAATAGCCCAACCCCTCATTATTTTAACAAATAGCTTGAGCACTGATATGTTTCCCCTCAATACAGTGGCAATTTCATCATCTGTCTCATGACACTTCAGTATCTGTCTCATGACACTTCAGTGTCTGTCTCATCACTTCAGTGTCTGTCTCATCACACTTCAGTATCTGTCTCATCACACTTCAGTGTCTGTCTCATCACTCTTCAGTATCTGTCACATCACACTACAGTATCTGTCTCATCACACTTCAGTGTCTGTCTCATCACACTTCAGTGTCTGTCTCATCACACATCAGTATCTGTCGCATCACACTTCAGTGTCTGTCGCATCACACTTCAGTGTCTGTCTCATCACACTTCAGTGTCTGTCGCATCACACTTCAGTGTCTGTCTCATCACACATCAGTATCTGTCTCATCACACTTCAGTGTCTGTCTCGTCACACTTCAGTATCTGTCTCGTCACACTTCAGCCTCTGTCACATCACACTTTACTGTCTCTTTCATCACACTTCAGTATCTGTCGCATCACACTTCAGTATCTGTCGCATCAAAGTTCAGTATCTGTCTCATCACACTTTAGTATCTATCTCATCATACTTCAGTATATATTTTTCCTTGTTTCAGCTCCAGAATGTTGGAATCAATGCATCCAACATTGGGTTCAGCACCCTTACCATGGAGTCGGACAAGTACATCTGTATCAGAGAAAAAGTCAGTGAGACTGCCCAGGTCGTCATCATAGATATGAATGATACCAACAATCCTATCAGACGTCCCATTTCGGCCGACTCAGCTATAATGAACCCTGCTAGCAAAGTCATTGCTCTGAAAGGTTTGTAATTCACCTGCCTATTTAGTTTAACAAATTGAATTACTGAACTGTTTTACCACTGAACAGTTGTGATAGTGACTTCATGTCAGAAAATCTGTTTACTACAAAAGACCACAGGTGAATTAAGTATTTTTATTACTCTATCCAAATTCAAAGGGTCTCAAGTTTCATAAGGGATGAAATTGTCTGTAATTAGTGTCATGCATTTTGTATCTGTGAACATATCAACTATTTTTTAAGGTGAAATGATATATTTATGTCATCACAGTTTTCTTTCTTGTATAAGTCACCTAAAATTGTTTCATTTTTGGACAGATCAAGAGAAATGCATTTGTGGATGTCATTTTTCTCCACAAAATGTGACTTTACTTGACTTTTATTCTACAGCTGGGAAAACTCTGCAAATCTTCAATATTGAGATGAAAAGCAAGATGAAGTCACACACTATGACAGATGATGTCATTTTCTGGAAATGGATTTCTGTAAACACTGTAGCCCTTGTGACAGAGACCTGTGTTTACCATTGGAGCATGGAAGGTAGGTTCACCATTCTAGTAACCCAAGGCAAGGTAATCTGCTGTACATCTGTAAATCTCATTACCTCAGTGTAGGTAATCTGCTGTAAATCGTTAAATCTCATTACCTCAGTCTATGTAATCTGCTGTAAATCTCATCACCTCAGTATAGGTAATCTGCTGTAAATCTCATTACCTCAATCTAGGTAATCAGCTGTAAATCTCATCACCTCAGTCTAGGTAATCTGCTGTAAATCTCATCACCTCAGTATAGGTAATCTGCTGTAAATCTGTTAATCTCATCACCTCAGTCTAGGTAATCTGCTGTTAATCTCATCACCTCAGTCTAGGTAATCTGCTGTGAATCTCATCTCATTACCTCAGTCTAGGTAATCTGCTGTAAATCTCATCACCTCAGTCTAGGTAATCTGCTGTACATCTGTAAATCTCATTACCTCAGTCTAGGTAATCTGCTGTACATCTGTAAATCTCATCACCTCAGTCTAGGTAATCTGCTGTACATCTGTAAATCTCATTACCTCAGTCTAGGTAATCTGCTGTAAATCTCATCACCTCAGTCTAGGTAATCTGCTGTAAATCTCGTTACCTCACTCTAGCTATAGTATCTAAATATACCCACACAAGGCCAGAATGTCTGCTGCTGTTTTACTGTAAATATAGAACTACACTAGCTTGGCCTTATTCTTAAATGAAAATAAAAAAAAATGCATATAAATTGTCGGTGCAACTTCCCAAACCGATTCTCTCAAAACGGATCTCCTCTTGAAACTGAACAAAATGATGTTGTACAGAGTGATATTCTTTTGATAGGAATCTGCTGAAAAAAGCATCCCAATCCGATCCTTCTAACTTTAACTGCAGCATCAGTAATCTTGTGTCTAATAATTTGCTTTGGTTTGGAAAGTTCAATGTAGAAGGAACAACCCCTACCCCATACATAGATTCTTTTAAAAACAACATCCCAAGGAAGTATTTACATCTGTAAATCTCAATGGAGGTTTATTTTACAGGTGACTCCCAGCCTCAAAAGATCTTTGTGACTCACATACCTCATCTGGCTGGCTGTCAATAATTAACTCATTACAGAGTCTAAGTAATCTGTGTTCATCTCATCATCGGCATATCAGCCCAGGTAAGTTCAACATGTCGGGGGGAATATCACACTCATATTAGCACAGGTACGGAAACATGTCAGGGGGGTTGGGGATATCACACTCATATTAGCACAGGTAAGGAAACATGTCAGGGAATATCACACTCATAATAGCACAGGTAATCTGGAAACATGTCAGTCTAGGTAATCTGCTCACATCTGTATATTCATCACCTCAGGTAAGGAAATCATGTGTAATCTCACACTCTGGTCAGCACAGGTAAGGAAACATGTCTAGGTAATCTGCTGTACATCTTAACCTCATGACCTGGTCTGTTGCTGTACATGTTCACTACGAAATGTTTAGATAATCATGTTCCAAGTAGTGTACTGTTGGGTTGCAGTGATACTGTAGGATGGTTTAGACAAAGTGTGTTCCTTGTACTGTGTTTGGGTAATCTGCCCAGTCTGGATATTATACCTAGTGTATGTAATGTGTGTGGGTCTCATCACCTCAGTCTAGGAATCTGCTGTACATCTGTAAATCTCATCCCTCAGTACTGTGTTTGGTACATGACCTCAGTCTATGTAATCTGCTGTACATCTGTAAATCTCATTACCTCAGTCTGTGTTTGGGTACAGTCATCACCTCAGTCTAGGTAATCTGCTGTACATCTGTTCCCTCAGTACTGTGTTCTGCTGTACATCTGTGGGAATCTCATCACCTCAGTCTAGGTAATCTGCTGTACTGTGTTCTCATTACCTCAGTCTATAATCTGCTGTAAATCTCATCACCTCAGTCTTGTAATCTGTTTGGGTAAATCTCATTACCTCAGTCTATGAATATGTAAATCTCATCACCTCAGTCTAGGTAATCTGTGTTCTGTAAATCTCATTACCTCAGTCTAGGATATTATATCTGTAAATCTCATCACCTCAGTCTAGGTAATCTGCTGTACATCTGTAAATCTCATTACCTCAGTCTAGGTAATCTGCTGTAAATCTCATCACCTCAGTCTAGGTAATCTGCTGTACATCTGTAAATCTCATTACCTCAGTCTAGGTAATCTGCTGTACATCTCATCACCTCAGTCTAGGTAATCTGCTGTACATCTGTAAATCTCATTACCTCAGTCTATGTAATCTGCTGTAAATCTCATCACCTCAGTCTAGGTAATCTGCTGTAAATCTCGTTACCTCACTCTAGCTATAGTATCTAAATATACCCACACAAGGCCAGAATGTCTGCTGCTGTTTTACTGTAAATATAGAACTACACTAGCTTGGCCTTATTCTTAAATGAAATTAAAAAAAAATGCATATAAATTGTCTGTGCAACTTCCCAAACCGATTCTCTCAAAACGGATCTCCTCTTGAAACTGAACAAAATGATGATGTACAGAGTGATATTCTTTTGATAGGAATAAAGAAAAAAGCATCCCAATACCGATCCTTCTAACTTTAACTGCAGCATCAGTTTTGTGTCTAATAATTTGCTTTGGTTTGGAGAAGTTCAATGTAGAAGGAACAACCCCTACCCCATACATAGATTCTTTTAAAAACAACATCCCAAGGAAGTATTTGAATGGAGGTTTATTTTACAGGTGACTCCCAGCCTCAAAAGATCTTTGACAGACATACCAATCTGGCTGGCTGTCAGATAATTAACTACAGGACAGACGCCAAGCAACAGTGGCTACTTGTCATCGGCATATCAGCCCAGGTAAGTTCAACATGTCAGGGGGAATATCACACTCATATTAGCACAGGTAAGGAAACATGTCAGGGGGGTTGGGGATATCACACTCATATTAGCACAGGTAAGGAAACATGTCAGGGAATATCACACTCATAATAGCACAGGTAAGGAAACATGTCGGGGAATATCACACTCATATTAGCACAGGTAAGGAAACATGTCGGGGAATATCACACTCTGGTCAGCACAGGTAAGGAAACATGTTCAGGGACTTTCTTCACTTAACCTTGATGGCGGTGTTGGGGTACATGTTGACTACGAAATGTTTTAGATAATCATGTTCCAAGTAGTGTACTGTTGGGTTGCAGTGATACTGTAGGATGGTTTAGACAAAGTGTGTTCCTTGTACTGTGTTGGGGTACAGTGACCCAGTGGGATATTATAGATAGAGTGTTCCTTGTACTGTGTTGGGGTACAGTGATCCAGTGGGATATTATAGATAGAGTGTTGCTTGTACTGTGTTGGGGTACAGTGATCCAGTGGGATATTATAGATAGAGTGTTACTTGTACTGTGTTGGGGTACAGTGACCCAGTGGGATATTATAGATAGAGTGTTCCTTGTACTGTGTTGGGGTACAGTGACCCAGTGGGATATTATAGATAGAGTGTTGCTTGTACTGTGTTGGGGTACAGTGACCCAGTGGGATATTATAGATAGAGTGTTACTTGTACTGTGTTTGGGGACAGTGACCCAGTGGGATATTATAGATAGAGTGTTCCTTGTACTGTGTTTGGGTACAGTGACCCAGTGGGATATTATAGATAGAGTGTTGCTTGTACTGTGTTGGGGTACAGTGACCCAGTGGGATATTATAGATAGAGTGTTACTTGTACTGTGTTTGGGTACAGTGACCCAGTGGGATATTATAGATAGAGTGTTCCTTGTACTGTGTTTGGGTACAGTGACCCAGTGGGATATTATAGATAGAGTGTTCCTTGTACTGTGTTTGGGTACAGTGACCCAGTGGGATATTATAGATAGAGTGTTACTTGTACTGTGTTTGGGTACAGTGACCAAGTGGGATATTATAGATAGAGTGTTCCTTGTACTGTGTTGGGGTACAGTGACCCTGTGGGATATTATAGATAGTGTTATTTGTACTGTGTTGGGGTACAGTGACCGAATGGGATATTATAGATAGAGTGTTACTTATACTGTGTTCAGGTAGAGTAACACAGTGGGATATTTTAGGTAGTGATCCTTATACTGTGTTCAGGTAGAGTAACACAGTGGGATGGTCAAGGTGTAAGATGTTCGTTGTGATACCCCCCGCAACGAAGTTAGGGGGGTATACTGGAATCAGGTTGTCTGTCTGTCCATCCATCTGTCTGTAGACACATTTTGTCTGGCTAACTCCTCCTAAACCTGTGAACCGATTTTGATGAAACTTTACAGGAATATTAAGGATCATGTGTAGATATGCATGCCCCTCTCTTTTTTTGAAAATTTTGAATGCCATGGTAACTGGTCACTATAAACAATTTTTCTAATAAATGTCCATAACTCCTCAGTTATTTGACCGATTGTATTCAAACTTAGTTAAAAGATGTAATTCAGTAAGGCCAATAATTGGACATATTAGACGTTTCCCAAACTGTTACCGTGGAAACACAATCCTGGCCTCTGATTATCAACCGATTGCCAGATGAGTTTGAGATTGATTTAGTACCCACTTATTATAGTGACCTTTTTTTTTGTCTCTGTGGCCCTTCAGTGGAAAATATTACTTACTATGTAAGTATTGCAAGACTCTCTTGATCGTGAACAACATGTATTCCACCCCTTCTGATTTCCAGAAATGCAGGCACATGCAGAATATGTCGATTACTCTCAGAATAACACTTTAACTTATCCATTGACTCGTTGCAGTGTATTGGTCAGCCATCTAGGCGACAGTTTTAGTTTTGTTTTGGGTTACAGAAATACAGTGTGATGTTTTAGACAAGTGAGTTCCTTTAATGGCACTTGGGTACAGTGTGACTTTGGCATGTTTTAGTCATTGCGTGTTTCTTGTACCTAATGAATTGATAACACTTATTGACATTTTCAGACGGGGGCTGAGGCAGCAGTAAGTATTCACACCGAACACCTGGTCGTCACTGACTCCCTCACCACATTGTCAACAAGCTGAACCCCATCAGCTCATTCCCCATCCTCATATCGGGGTCCAGATTGACCCCAGCCTTTTCCAGCCTGACTTCAGCTTCCCCAAAACTTGAGATTGTTATTAATGTGCATGAGAAGTCCAGAAATAAAACTTGAAAACATACCACTTGATGTTATAGGATTGCCCTTGTACTCTACTAATCTGAATTGAAATGGTTTTATGGGTTGTTTTGTAAATGTAAAGATCAGTGCAGGGAACCACTGTTGTGAATCCAGCGTGAACGTTGACAATGTGTGTGTTGGTGACTCCCACCTGTAGTCTAGGCCGCCATTCTTCCACATTCAGACCCCCTCTACAGTGTTTAGGGTTTCTGAATATAGGCAATTTTATAAGTATTATCAAATTTATTAAAACTATTGTTTGAGATTGCACACAATTAAAGATAGACATACTTAAATGAGGGGAGAGATGAAATTAATTTGATATTCTAGACATTTTGTATTTCTGTATATTAAATTGTGAGAAATTAAATAGTATTAAAATGAAAGCGCCCCCTTTACAGAGCCTAGCAGAAGCTTGCTGACAACATTACCCACACCTACAGTAAACCTCTGGTCAGTTTGAATAGGCAGGTAGTTCAAACATAGAAATATTTTTTCAGTAAAAACAAAAAAATTCTATCTAGTGATAATTGAAACCTTGCTTTTCTTGTTTCACTTAAAATTCAACCATTCAAACAAATCGTGAGATCCTAGCTAGTCTATTGAAAGGGATATTGATGTTGCAAGAATGACTTGGTTTGGTCACCATATTCACATCACCAATTATACACATACATGTCACTTAATAAGCTTTAATTCAGTCTGATTTCTGCTGAATCTTGCTGTGACATCGGGCGCACACAGACTGACAGAACTTGTGGCCCCAACTCTGTGATACAAGCAATCGTTATGCAGAGCAGAGAATGTTGTTGTGAATTATCAAAGAACAATGGTTTTCATTTTGATGTGATAATCCAGCCTAGACTATCCCTATTTATTAAGTCAAATAATTGTAAGACTCCTAGATATGCTTTGAAACACCAATGAGATAATTTTAACGTTAATTTGTAGTCATAGTCACAATCCACATTCCGCTCAATGATATGTCAATGCTAACTTCTGTCACTACGTAATCAGACATTAGCTTATTCAGACATAACGACATCCAAGATGATGAAGGACAAAATGAAACCTGTGACTTTGTACCAGTTGATTAACATAGAAGTGTTTAAAAAGATTTCTGCATGCATGGTTGAACAATATTCAGTTTTGATAGGGCTGACCAGAGGTTTACCACAAAAGCCTACACCTACTGTTGTATGTATCATAATATAATCATTCACCCAGCCTTCACTCAGCTCAAAATCTGATACCATCCACAGCAGGAACCAACAGGATTTCTTGAATAAAAGGATCAGTGGTTGGTGAGTTTATTGTAGTGGACAGATTCAGAATAAGAAAATATCTTTGGACAGCCTCGTGAAACACTCAGTGGGCAGGTATCATCAAACATTTGGCGAGTTAGTATCATGAAACACTGAGTGAGTCAGTATTATGAAACACTTCAGTTGGGAATAGAAACAGGTGGTCATTGTAATAATTGTTCTATTTCCAGTAGAAATTCTGCTATCAAATAGGTTTTGTTTTCTTATTTTTTCCAAGTGTTTTAGCTTTTTTTTTTTTTGGTAGATTTTTCTGTCCTTTCCACTTAGTTAGCCAGTGTAGTAGGGTCACTTTTAAAGGTTGTTTGTAGTCTTCAGCAATTACCACCAGAGCCAAGTAGTGTCATACCAACATTCTGTTCTTTATAAAACTTGGTTGTTAGAACTCTGATGGAGTTAAGGGTTGTCATACCAACATTCTGTCCTTTATAAAAGTTGTATGCTGAGCTCTATAAAACTTGTATGCTGAGCTCTGATAGAGTGAAGGGTTGTCATACCAACATTCTGTCCTTTATAAAACTTGTATGCTGAGCTCTATAAAACTTGTATGCTGAGCTCTGATAGAGTGAAGGGTTGTCATACCAACATTCTGTCCTTTATAAAACTTGTATGCTGAGCTCTGATAGAGTGACGGGTTGTCATACCAACATTCTGTCCTTTATAAAACTTGTATGCTGAGCTCTGATAGAGTGACGGGTTGTCATACCAACATTCTGTTCTTTATAAAACTTGGTTGTTAGAACTCTGCCAGAGTGAGAGAATATAGAACCTAGAATGAGGGAGTGCCATACCAATTATCTGTTTACAAAATCTGTTATGTAATACTGAAACAGTACCTAAATGCCATGGAGAGGGGGATACTGTGACAGAATGGTGTTTGTTGGGTTGTCATGCATGCTCATGTATCTGGGTGATTCGTGTTGTAATAACTTCTCAGTTTTCAAAATGGAATAAACTTGATGATTAACATTGGCAAGGTATTTTTTCTCCTTAAATAATGAGTTTATCGAAGCTTTTTTTTCTGTAAGATGTAATCAGAATTCCTCAATACACCGCTTTTTTGAAAAGTCATTTATATATATGTACATATATATATACCTTTTTATCTAATAGTGTAGTATGCTTCAAGGTTGTTTACAATCCAGTAAGCTTGGCTTCTGTTAGCAGGGCTCTAACATTGGTGACTACAGAGATTGGTCAGATGCATGGCTGTAGTGTCCTACTCTGGTAGAGTTGGCGGTGAATTAATAGACTTTTTGTCATAGTTGCAGAGTTGTTCATTTAGGAGACTTGTCATCATAATACATTGGAATATTTGTCATTTCAGCAAAACCGTGTTGTGGGTGCGATGCAGTTGTACTCAGTGGAGAGGAAAGTCAGCCAGCCTATAGAGGGACATGCTGCTGCTTTCGCTACCTTCAAATTAGAAGGCAACGCCAATCCTTCCACACTCTTCATGTTCGCCGTCAGAGGAGCACAGGGTGGAAAGGTAAGTGGGAGGTGTTTTAAAAGACACAGGATTATGATAGCCAGGGCTAGAAAAAAATATTTTCAGCTACTCGTCTGTCGGGCAAGTGAAACTTGAAATTCACTTGCCCGAATCCAATATTCACTCACCCGAAGAAAAAAGGCAACAAAACGTATTTAAGGAACACAAATTTTATCATCAATTTCTATATCAAATGTTTGAACTCAACACTTGCTTTTATTGTTTTACTCATATTTAATTCACTCTTAACGTGAATGAGAACATGTGTTCTATTGATTCAGACTAGCCGTCGTCCGAACATCAGCAAACACTTGTTATTTTTACAACCTCCGTTCATTAGTGCCTAAAATATTTATGTATCAGCCTTTAAGTAATTAATGTAACACATGGAGACCACTTTCATGCTAAGCGTCATTTCATTTAAAATTGATCGATAAAATACATATACAGTGTGACATGAAGACAAATGTAAACGTAAGCACACATTTTCAATTTCTCTTTGATTTCTGTTTGAAGTTAATTCATCTTTTCATTTAAACTTGTGTTTTGGTATGTGTTTGTTCAGGTAATGATATCTGTTATCAACTATATATAGCCATACACATGAAAACGTTGATCAAACTCACCAAGAACGATCCAAGGTGTCATTGTTTTTTTGTAGTCCCTTTAACTTTGAAACATCAAAGTTATACTGTATTTGGTAAGGGAGAAAGGTGTTTATTAGGCAGACAGGTATTTGGTAGGGAAGAAAGATATCTTTTTGGAATCTGTGATAATGAGAGAGGCACTGAGCAGGGAAATAACCCAGTAGATAATCTGTGATAATGAGAGGGGCACTGAACAGGGAGAATCACCCAGTAGATAATCTGTGATATTGAGAGGGGCACTGAACAGGGAGAATCACCCAGTAGATAATCTGTGATAATGAGAGGGGCACTGAACAGGGAGAATCACCCAGTAGATAATCTGTGATAATGAGAGGGGCACTGAACAGGGAGATTCACCCAGTAGATAATCTGTAATATTGAGCAGGGAGATTCACCCAGTAGATAATCTGTGATAATGAGAGGGGCACTGAACAGGGAGAATCACCCAGTAGATAATCTGTGATATTGAGAGGGGCACTGAACAGGGAGAATCACCCAGTAGATAATCTGTGATAATGAGAGGGGCACTGAACAGGGAGAATCACCCAGTAGATAATCTGTGATATTGAGCAGGGAGATTCACCCAGTAGATAATCTGTGATAATGAGAGGGGCACTGAACAGGGAGAATCACCCAGTAGATAATCTGTGATAATGAGAGGGGCACTGAACAGGGAGAATCACCCAGTAGATAATCTGTGATAATGAGAGGGGCACTGAACAGGGAGAATCACCCAGTAGATAATCTGTGATATTGAGAGGGGCACTGAACAGGGAGAATCACCCAGTAGATAATCTGTGATAATGAGAGGGGCATAATGAGAGGGGCTGAACAGGGAGAATCACCCAGTAGATAATCTGTGATAATGAGAGGGGCACTGAACAGGGAGAATCACCCAGTAGATAATCTGTGATATTGAGCAGGGAGATAGATAATCTGTGATAATGAGAGGGGCACTGAACAGGGAGAATCACCCAGTAGATAATCTGTGATAATGAGAGGGGCACTGAAATCTGTGATAATGGGAGAATCACCCAGTAGATAATCTGTGATAATGAGAGGGGCACTGAACAGGGAGAATCACCCAGTAGATAATCTGTGATAATGAGAGGGGCACTGATCTGTGATAATGAGAGGGGCACTGAGCAGGGAGAATCACCCAGTAGATAATCTGTGATAATGAGAGGGGCACTGAACAGGGAGAATCACCCAGTAGATAATCTGTGATAATGAGAGGGGCACTGAACAGGGAGAATCACCCAGTAGATAATCTGTAAGGCTCTGTAGAAAAATCTCAAGATTAATATTACTGTATTTTTGTTTCTAGCTTCATGTGATTGAAGTAGGTCAGCCACCCCAGGGAAATCAGCCCTTCACAAAGAAAGCAGTGGATGTTTTCTTCCCTGCTGAAGCCCAAAATGACTTCCCAGTAGCCATGCAGGTATGTGCCTCACTTTCCTTCCAATTTAGTTACAATCAGTCTATCATTAAATTTGTCTTGGTTTCTAGATTAAGTAGGATTCAAAGTAATCTGTAAGTAAGGTAATGTAGCATATACCCTTAACTCTGTAGGTGAGTCCAAAACACAGTGTAGCTTTCCTCATCACAAAGTATGGCTACATCCACATGTACGACATAGAGACTGGCACTTGCATCTACATGAACCGCATTAGTGGCGACACCATCTTTGTCACCGCCCCTCACGAGGCCTCATCAGGAATTATTGGCGTCAACAGAAAAGGGCAGGTAAGTAAATGATGAGTGATGCAGGCCTATTGGGCCTTTTGTTCTTTGTGAAATGATACATTAAAACCATATTGCCTTAGCACCTGTTCTGATTCTAAGTGGGGTGCTTATTACAGAACAAGAACATGGCATTTCTTCCGAAACTGGACTTCCAAACAGTCAAAGGAAAATTTTATGCAGTTTACAAGTCAGATCTTTGTTTTGTTGTAGGTGTTGTCAGTGAGTGTTGAAGAAGATAACATTGTCCAGTACTTGACCACCACACTACAGAACCCTGACCTTGCTCTCAAGGTGGCATCCCGCGGCAACCTGCCTGGTGCAGAAGATCTTTTTGTCCGCAAATTCAACAACCTGTTTCAGAGTGGAAACTATGCAGAAGCTGCTAAGGTAGCTGCAGGTGCCCCAAAGGTAAACAAGTTATTTAACAGGCTTAGTGTATTTACATCAGATGCTCTTCCATACATTTGCCTAGAAATAGAAAAGGTCTGGCAAAAATTTTATCATATTTTAACAAACTGCCGAAATTTTTACATTAAGAACGATGAAATTATGAAAACTTCACAACTGCTGTGTATATCTGCTAGTGTTAACCACTATAGAAAAATACAGCTTTGAGATGAAAATGAGCTTTACTTAAACATTTCTAATGTTTGTAGGGTATACTGCGGACTCCACAGACTATACAACGATTCCAGCAGGTACCAGCAGCCACTGGGCAGACATCTCCTCTCCTCCAGTACTTTGGTATCTTACTGGACAAAGGTCAACTTAACAAGTATGAGTCCCTGGAGTTGTGTCGCCCAGTGCTGCAACAAGGCCGGAAACAGCTGCTGGAAAAATGGCTAAAGGAGGAAAAGGTTGGTATCACCCACATAGACCTGGTGCCATCTGGGAGTAAAATTCCAATCTGCTACCAAAAGCAATTACTGTGTTTAAGCAGTGATCTATGTGGAAATTTTACTCTGTCTAGTGTCAGGCTATTGTTCATTTGCCTCTGTCCTTTCTTTACTGCATCGCTTTGTGAGGTATTCATGTTAGGTAAATAGTATAGACTGTGACACAGTGAAATTAGGTCTGCTTCTCGAGTTATTGACCTTTCATCACTAGAAAAAATGGAAATCAGTCGCGATTCAATTTCTTTTTTTCATCTTTTTGCAGTTGGAGTGTAGTGAGGAACTTGGAGATCTGGTCAAAGCCACCGACCCAACACTGGCTCTGTCTGTTTACCTCAGGGCCAATGTACCTAACAAAGTAAGTCACAAACCAGACACTGACTCTGTCTGTTTACCTCAGGGCAAATGTACCAATGGGAGCAGTCAGTGTCTGTCAGGTGTTAGAGGGTTGGTCATGGTAAGCCAGTCAATATCTGTTAGAAAAATAACTCTTTATCATTACAGTTTTAAGTTTAGATTTGTACTTACTGACTCATATCATTACAGGTTATCCAGTGTTTTGCGGAAACAGGACAGTTCCAGAAAATTGTGTTGTATGCCAAGAAAGTAGGTTTCACCCCAGATTTTATATTTCTGCTTCGTAACATCATGAGGATGAACCCAGAACAGGGCCTAAGCTTTGCCCAGATGTTAGTGCAGGATGATGAACCACTGGCCGATCTGAATCAGGTAAATATCTTAACTTGGTGAGGAAGACATCTTAATCTAGACAGGTAGACATCTTAACCTGGCTAGGTAAATATCTTAACCTCTTGACATCTGAACCTTTCTATTAGAACAACATGGTTTTGTCCTAATTTGCTCAGAAGCATCCTTTAGAGACACTAAAAAACAATTTTGTAAAAATGATAGGTCTTTTTACCAGTAACTAAATTTCTAATTCATCGATAGAAATAACAGAATTTTGTTTAAATTTTTAACTTAAAACTCTGAATGAACTTTTCATGAATGAAATATGAGTGATAACTTTGAGATAGATTTGATGAATGGATGAGCCCCAAACAACAGTATATCCATATAGAAATTCAAAGGTGACCTCAAAATTTGAAATAAGACAGAAAGAGAAACACTGGGACTCATTAAGTTTGTCTCTTTTTTATGTTGATGTTCTCTTTAAATGTTCTAAAATTGTGACTCCTTTTGTACTTTTGACAGTTTCCTTTAGATGTTCTAGCACTAGAGCTCCTGTATGTTTACTGTTCCACAGATTGTAGACGTGTTTATGGAGTTTAACCTGATCCAGCAGTGTACCTCCTTCCTGTTAGATGCCCTGAAGAACAACCGACCTGCTGAGGCACCACTTCAGACAAGACTGTTAGAAATGAACCTTATGTCTGCTCCTCAGGTAACTAGGTTTTATTCTGTCGTATTCAGATGTACAGGAAATTTTATATCTTATATATCTCTATATCTGGTGTAGATGTACAGGAAATTTTATATCTTATATATCTCTATATCTGGTGTAGATGTACAGGAAGTTTTATATCTTATATATCTCTATATCTAGTGTAGATGTACAGGAAGTTTTATATCTTATATATCTCTATATCTGATGTAGATGTACAGGAAATTTTATATCTTATATATCTCTATATCTGATGTAGATGTACAGGAAATTTTATATCTTATATATCTCTATATCTGATGTAGATGTACAGGAAATTTTATATCTTATATATCTCTATATCTGGTGTAGATGTACCGGAAATTTTATATCTTATATATCTCTATATCTGGTGTAGATGTACCGGAAATTTTATATCTTATATATCTCTATATCTGGTGTAGATGTACAGGAAATTTTATATCTTATATATCTCTATATCTGGTGTAGATGTACAGGAAATTTTATATCTTATATATCTCTATATCTGGTGTAGATGTACGGGAAGTTTTATATCTTATATATCTCTATATCTGGTGTAGATGTACAGGAAATTTTATATCTTATATATCTCTATATCTAGTGTAGATGTACAGGAAACCTGATATTTTGAGGTGTTTCTTTGACTTGTTTCAGGTGGCCGATGCCATCCTCGGTAACCAAATGTTTACCCACTATGACCGAGCACATGTGGCACAGCTGTGTGAGAAGGCCGGACTTCTACAAAGGGTAGGTCTACATTAACAGCTACTATTAGTACAGCTCCCCTTGTAACACTTTTAAACACTGTGCACAGAGACTCTTGTATTATGTTGTTGTTTTTCCAAATACAGAGGCTGATACCAACTTGAGATGATAATCTGTGCTTCATGATTTTGCTTACAAATTTCTGTTCTAGAAATGATTTGTTTTAAATGTGCAATAGTTGTGTTAATAATCTGATGCTTTCTATCATGAGTAGATTCACAGACAAGGACAGATCTTGTTTAGGCAATATGTGACAGTTTTCATAAAAATGATCAATCATCTGTAATCTTGATGTGGACTTCATTCTGAGTAAAGTGTTATTATACAAATAGATCTGTCTTTGCAGTATGTTGACTTTGAGATAGAAATATTACTAGTATGCTACTTTTGTAGGCACTGGAACACTACACAGATCTATATGACATCAAGCGGGCAGTTGTACATACCCATCTACTTAACCCAGAGGTAAGTCGCTCTAAATATCCACCTACTTAACCCAGAGATAAGTCACCCTAAATTGCCACATATGAAATCCAGATGTAAGTCACTCTAAACACCCACCTACTTAACCCAGATGTAAGTCACTCTAAATACCCTCCTACTTAACCCAGAGATAAGTCACCCTAAACACCCATATACTTAACCCAGATGTAAGTCACTCTAAACACCCTCCTACTTAACCCAGAGATAAGTCACCCTAAACACCCACCTACTTAACCCACATGTAAGTCACTCTAAATACCCACCTACTTAACCCAGAGATAAGTCACCCTAAACACCCACCTACTTAACCCAGATGTAAGTCACTCTAAATACCCACCTACTTAACCCAGAGATAAGTCACCCTAAACACCCACCTACTTAACCCAGAGATAAGTCACCCTAAACACCCACCTACTTAACCCAGAGATAAGTTACCCTAAACACCTACTTAGTTCACCAAGTATGTAAGTCACTCTAAATACCCGACTACTTAACTCAGAGGTAAGTCACCCTAAACACCCACCTACTTAACCCAGATGTAAGTCACTCTAAACACCCACCTACTTAATCCAGATGTAAGTCACCCTAAACACCCACCTACTTAATCCAGATGTAAGTCACTCTAAACACCCACCTACTTAACCCAGAGATAAGTCACCCTAAACACCCACCTACTTAACCCAGAGATAAGTCACCCTAAACACCTACTTAGTTCACCAAGTATGTAAGTCACTCTAAATACCCACCTACTTAACCCAGTATGTAAGTCACTCTTAATACCCTCATACTTAATCCAGATGTAAGTCACTCTAAACACCCACCTACTTAACCCAGAGATAAGTCACCCTAAACACCCACCTACTTAACCCAGAGATAAGTCACCCTAAACACCTACTTAGTTCACCAAGTATGTAAGTCACTCTAAATACCCGACTACTTAACTCAGAGGTAAGTCACCCTAAACACCCACCTACTTAACCCAGTATGTAAGTCACTCTTAATACCCTCATACTTAATCCAGATGTAAGTCACCCTAAACACCCACCTACTTAACCCAGAGATAAGTCACCCTAAACACCCACCTACTTAACCCAGAGATAAGTCACGTTAAATACCCACCTACTTAATCCAGAGATAAGTCACCCTAAACACCTACTTAGTTCACCAAGTATGTAAGTCACTCTAAATACCCACCTACTTTACTCAGAGGTAAGTTGTCTTAATCAACAAGGCTGAGATAATGATTCTAGATTTTGTATTTCAGTGGCTGGTAAACTACTTTGGTTCCTTGTCTATAGAGGACTCGTTAGAATGCCTGAAGGCCATGCTTCAAGCCAATATCCGTCAGAATCTGCAAGTGTGTGTACAGATTGCTACCAAATATCATGAACAACTTGGCACACAGTCACTCATTGAAATCTTTGAGTCCTTCAAAAGTTTTGAAGGTGAGCCATGAAATCCTAGTTTGTTGATGTTATAAGCATTGCATAGATTTCTAAATTTGTATTGATTGATCATTCAGTCTAAAAGGGGAGACTTTACAGGTGGAAAATATACAGGTGTCAAGAGGTGGTGGTTATGGTGACAAGAGGAGATTGTTCATAAAAGGGGAAATTGTTCAGGTGACAAGGGGAGATTATTCACATAAAAAGGGGAAATTTGTTGTGGTGACAAAGGAAAATTTGTTGTGGTGACATTGAGAGATTGTTATGATGACGGGGAATTATTCTACATTATCCTTTAGCGTTGTTATTCACTGATTTATTGGTTTGGCCAGGTCTGTTCTATTTCTTGGGATCCATCGTAAACTTCAGTCAGGACACCGATGTCCACTTCAAATACATCCAGGCAGCCTGTAAGACAGGACAGATCAAAGAGGTAGAGCGCATCTGTAGGGAGAGCAACTGTTATGATCCAGAGAGAGTCAAAAACTTCCTCAAGGTAAAGGATTACGAAATGGAATAATTTCTTAGACACTACAGATAATCTACATTGGATTTACGGGTGACACTAAACTGTTATCTCCCTTTAGTGGTAATATATCTCAGTGTTGCCCGAGATAAATCAGTTCCACAGACAAACTCATGCCGATCTTGGCTTGATGTTTCGTATGAGAACTTACATAATGGATCTTATGACTTGTATAATTTACATATAAATTCTGTAGTCATATTATAACAAATACTGTTTGTTGTTTTAGAATTAGGTATTCGTAAAATTTCTATATATTTACTGTGCGTCTGGAAGCTAGCATGATCACTATAATATCTGTGGTATGTATGTACTGTTAAAATGAAACAGAAATTTGGTAGTTTGGATTAAAGTTTAGGTGTATTATGTATATAACCATACTTACAGAACAGGACAGACACAATATGATTATATGTAAATTGGAGTTCTCTCCAGACAATTTAGCATGATTTACTTTTACACATAAATTTTGGACTGGAAACAATCATGAAAAATTCCAATTTTGAGTAAACACAGGAAAAAAACTAGTTACATTTGTCGGTTGGAATGCACCGATCATTGAAAAAGTGCTAATATCTTCTGATTTTTAATCGGGGGAGGGAGGTCAGGGATCCTGATTGTAACTACAGAATCAGTAACTAAGGACTTATGGGTGACACTGAACTGTTATCTACCTTGAGTGGTAATATATCTCAGTGTTGCCCGAGATAAATCAGTTCCACAGACAAACTCATGCTGACTGATATTGGTGTGACGTTTCGTATGAGAACTTACAAAACAATTGTTTAGATAGTCACTGTCTGCATCAACAATGGAGTTTGATTGTAGTAAGTCTGCTATCATCTTGTCTCTATTACCAGGAAGCCAAGCTCACCGACCAACTGCCGTTGATAATCGTGTGTGACCGATTTGACTTTGTCCATGACTTAGTCCTCTACCTTTACCGTAACAGCTTACAGAAGTACATTGAGATTTACGTACAGAAGGTAAACCCTGCCCGACTCCCAGTTGTGGTCGGTGGACTTCTTGATGTTGACTGTGGAGAGGATGTCATCAAGCAACTCATTCTTGTCGTAAAAGGACAGTTTTCGACTGACGAGCTTGTAGAGGAGGTTGAAAAACGCAACAGGTACCACACCAATATTAGACAGTGTACCACAGAAATATTATTTTCAAAAGCTGCTAGGAAGTCAGATATAGAAATTTAATATACTTTTCATCATCCTCGTAAATTTTGATATCTTGGACAACATGACTTGTTTGTCCATGATTATTGTATGAACCAGAATTCCTAGCATCTGAAGTCTTGCATAATGTGTCATATGTAATTTATAGTATTTGTCTATCCGTTCATAAAACAGAATTAACCAAAAAAAAAAAAAAAAAGGGGGAGGGAATTCATTGAGAACCTAACCTGAAATATTGACATTATTTCCGGCTACAGAATGAAGCTGCTGTTGCCATGGCTGGAAATGCGCGTACATGAAGGTGTTCAGGAACCAGCAACACACAACGCTCTCGCTAAAATCAACATAGACAGTAATAACAATCCAGAGAGATTCCTAAGGTGAGAGACTGTAGAATTTTGTCTGCTAATTCTATATTTCTCTATTACAGCTATACTTTCACACATGCTTGATACAATTGGTCTATTCTGTTACAGCCTTTGACTTCACGAAAACCCTGTTTGATATGACAGCTGGTTAAATACAAGCAGGATTTTATTGTATTATCATTAACACATCAGAATGATTTGTATAATTACACAACATTAATAGGACAAAGTCTGGACCGAGAGGGAAATGTAGAAATATGAGAAACAGCGAAAATATAGCAATGTGTTGTGTCTGTAAAGGGCAATATAGCAATATGTTGTGTCTCGAAAGGGAAATATAGCGATATGTTGTGTCTAGAAAGGCAATATAGCAATATGTTGTGTCTGGAAAGGGAAATATAGCCATATGTTGTGTCTGGAAAGGGAAATATAGCAATATGTTGTGTCTGGAAAGGCAATATAGCAATATGTTGTGTCTGGAAAGGGAAATATAGCCATATGTTGTGTCTGGAAAGGGCAATATAGCAATATGTTGTGTCTGGAAAGGCAATATAGCAATATGTTGTGTCTGGAAAGGGAAATATAGTAATTGGAAGATTGAAAACATGTACAACAACAAACCCAACTTATTGGATGTCTTAAGTAGGTAGTAATTGACTTTGTATTTACAGAGAGAACCAGTTCTATGACAGTTTGGTTGTGGGTAAATATTGTGAGAAGCGTGACCCCCACTTGGCTTGTGTAGCCTATGAGAGAGGACAGAACGACATGGAACTTATTAAGGTCAGTGACTGTAAACTAACAGAATGTTGTGGCTTCATTTTCACGTACAGAAATGGCTGAATTCACCAGTCATAACTAGGCCTTGTGCTGTTTTTTTTTAAACTTCCTGAACATCATGATATATTCTTGTATCTGTGATCACATCAACTCAATCGGATCATTTTTGTTGTTGCATTTTGTCATGAATTTGTATCTGTCAACAGTATTATTGATTTCATGTTTTCACACAAACCTGAATTATCATATTTGTGGTACACTTTCCTTAATATCAGAATTCTGTTTCCATGTTTCACCAACTTCTACATGGGAGAATATTCAGTTTCTCTGAGTTTACTATAGTTTATAGAGCTGTTGACCTGTAACATGTAAAGTTTACTATGGTTTATAGAACTATTGACCTGTAACATAATAATGGAATTCTTTCTACAGGTGTGCAATGAGAACTCACTCTTTAAGAGTGAGGCACGATACCTGGTGCGTCGTCGTGACACAGACCTCTGGGCTGTCGTTCTACAGGAGGACAATGAGTACCGACGTCAGTTGATTGACCAGGTAAGCTTATTGTAGATTCCACTGGTACTGTGTAAATTTTGGGGGAAAATGAACAGAGATATTAAAGACTTTTTTTTTCTCGTGAGCACATGCCGCCAAGTTTTTTCAGTTTAGTTTAGGACTAGAGATGCTTAAATACTGTCTTTACATCATATTCAAGCTGTCATGAAGTAGACTAGAAACTTTACAAGATGTCGGACATTTTTATCACATGTTTAACATTTTAAAGATCCATGTTACACTGATAGATCTGGTCAGCATAGTTGTTTCATCAGAACTGTTCTATAACAGTAAAGGATCAGGAAGGCATTATCATACTAAAAGATGTTGGAGGATGGGGTGATTGTAAATAACATGCCATCTGTCCTATATCTCTTAGCATTCTTGGCATAAATCATGCGCCTAAGATAAAGATTAAATACTTAGTGTAATGTTGTGATTCAGGTTGTACAGACAGCCCTGTCCGAGACACAGGACCCTGAAGATATATCTGTCACTGTCAAAGCTTTCATGACCTCAGACCTTCCAAACGAGCTGATTGAACTGTTGGAGAAGATTGTTTTGGAGAATTCTGTGTTCAGTGATCACAGGTAGGTGTTGATGCGTTGGTAAAACCAGTCTGAGTTGTGGTGCTCAAACAGCAGCAGATTCTGTAGCCATAAGTTCAACCCACATTTAAACTCATGTTATAGTGTGCTATATATGTAAACAGGATTTTCAGTTTGAAATGCAGTCAAACTTTGATGTTTCAAAGTTCTATGGACTACCAAAAAAACTTAGATACATTGACACTTTGAATCCTTCGTGATGGGTTATATAAACGTTTTCATGTCTATGGCTATATATGGTTGATGACACAATATTTCTTCCTGAACAAACACAATAAATACCAAAACACAAGGTTAGATGAAAAGATGCATTATCTGAAAACAAAATATCTTTTACTCATGAAAAAAAAACATAAATTTATATAGAAATCAACAAGAAATCAATAATGCACGCTTATGTTTACATTTGTGCCTTCATGTCACACAGCATATGTATTTTACAGATTGATTTAAAATGAAACATTGTAGGTACTAATGAATTTAAAACCAAGCAAATTAATATCATAATATATTCTGTCCAGAAACGACAGCACTAACATCACACATCTTTGGTTGTAGATTTTACAGACTAGAATTGGGAGTAAATTAGAACAGACTATTATTGAGTGTAGGTTAGAACAGAATTTTATAAAGAGAAAGAGAAAAAAAAACATTGTTGACTAATTACTATGGTTACCATTTGATCTGAAATGATCTTTTATCAACAGAAATCTACAGAACCTGCTGATCCTGACAGCAATAAAGGCAGATCGTACTCGAGTAATGGAGTATATTAACCGACTTGACAACTATGATGCCCCTGACATTGCTAACATCGCCATCAGCAATGAACTCTTTGAAGAAGCTTTTGCAATTTTCAAGAAATTTGAGGTCAACACATCAGCTATACAGGTGCGTATTCTCTCAAATCATCCTTTTCTACTATCACCACGATGACGGTACTTCCATCTTCCCCCATCAACAGGTGAAATCACCCTTACTTCCTGGTAATCAACCCTTACTTCCTAGTAATCAACCCTTACTTCCTAGTAATCAACCCTTACTTCCTAGTAATCAACCCTTACTTCCTAGTAATCAACCCTTACTTCCTGGTAATCAACCCTTACTTCCTGGTAATCAACCCTTACTTCCTGGTAATCAACCCTTACTTCCTGGTAATCAACCCTTACTTCCTAGTAATCAACCCTTACTTCCTAGTAATCAACCCTTACTTCCTGGTAATCAACCCTTACTTTCCCGGTAATCAACCCTTACTTCCTGGTAATCAACCCTTACTTCCTAGTAATCAACCCTTACTTCCTAGTAATCAACCCTTACTTCCTGGTAATCAACCCTTACTTCCTAGTAATCAACCCTTACTTCCTAGTAATCAACCCTTAAACTAGTGTTTCTTCCAGTTGTAAATACAAATATTTTACAAGTTTTCAAAGTTTGTAGCCTTTGTACTGTTTCCACCTTTGATCAAAATATTACAAATTCCGTGGAGATGTACACAATAATAGGTTCTTAATACAAACTTCGGTGATTCTTGTTTATTATATACTACCAGGTGCTGATAGACCATGTCAACAACCTTGACCGAGCTTATGAGTTCGCCGAGCGCTGTAATGACCCGGCAGTTTGGAGTCAGTTGGGAAGGGCCCAACTCAACCAGGGTCTGGTGAAAGAAGCCATTGATTCCTTCATCAAGGCAGATGACCCATCTGAATACATGGAAGTTGTCAATGTAGCTAGTAACAATAGTAAGTGGGCAACAGAAAGTCAAATAGTAACACTCGTAGCTAGTAACAATAGTAAGTGGGCAACAGAAAGTCAAATAGTAACACTCGTAACTAGTAACAATAGTAAGTGGTCAACAGAAAGTCAAATAGTAACACTCATAGCTAGTAACAATAGAAAGTGGGCAACAGAAAGTCAAATAGTAACACTTGTAGCTAGTAACAATAGTAAGTGAGCAACAGAAAGTCAAATAGTAACACTCGTAACTAGTAACAATAGTAAGTGATCAACAGAAAGTCAAATAGTAACACTCGTAACTAGTAACAATAGTAAGTGGGCAACAGAAAATCAAATAGTAACACTCATAGCTAGTAACAATAGTAAGTGGGCAACAGAAAGTCAAATAGTAACACTCGTAACTAGTAAAAATAGTATTAAGGGCAACAGAAAGTCAAATAGTAACACTCATAGCTAGTAACAATAGTAAGTGGGCAACAGAAAGTCAAATAGTAACACTCGTAACTAGTAACAATAGTAAGTAGTTGACAAAATGTCAAATAGTGATGTTTTTTTAAGACCAATGAAACTAAGATTAGTATTTTAGAATTATGAAAGGAGATGCAGATTTAAATCTCTGATGCTGACTATTGTTTATGTTAACAGATAGTTGGGAAGACCTGGTGAAATTTCTTCAGATGGCCAGAAAGAAGGCACGGGAAACATTTATAGAAACTGAACTAATTTATGCCTATGCAAAAACGAACCGACTTGCAGATTTAGAAGAGTTTATTTCTGGACCGAACCATGCTAACATTACACAGGTAAGCACTCTTTCTACCATTTTACACTGAATATCAGTCTTCTCTGTTGAATTATTGATGTGAAAATGAAATATTCCTAGGGTTGGGGTTGGGGGAGGGGGTGGGATCAGGGGAGTGGGGTGGGGGGAGTAATGACAAAAAATAAACAACCCACCAAGCATATTGTCCTGCGTACATGATTCGAAGAAAAAGAGAGATAAGGAAAATAAATATAGCACAGAGATACAGATATAGCACACAGATACTGATATAGCACACAGATACTGATTAAGCTGGAATCAGATTGCCTGTCCATCAGTTCATCTGTCCAACATATTGTGTACGATCAACTTCTCCTAAACTTGTGAACCGATTTCAATGAACCTGATGATGCTGAAAATTGATATATGAGGGTTTTGAAGGATAATATTTTTCTAAAAAAAACTGATGTCATTTAGTTAGCAAGGTACCCAAGTCAGACTCATGATTAGAGGGATTTGGTGCAGAATCCTTGTAAACTTGGGAATTAATTTCAATGAAATTGTACAGAAATATTATGGGCCATCTGAAAATGCTGATACTTTTTTTTAGATTTTGGTTGCCTTGGTAACCAGGTCACAATAAATATGGATTTATGTTATAACCCATAGATTTTATAATCTATAGTAAGGAGATGAGACATGACAAGGGAATGGTACTTGTCTAGGAAAATTCAAGGTCATATAAAGCGTTGAGGTCACTGAGACAGAAACTAAAACAACTGATGTATAAAGGCATTGCATCTACAGGGGGTATGGTTTATCCTGAGGAGTACAGTTTAAATTTCAATGTTAGTTTATATGGCTGACTATTGCTTTATTGTCAGTGTTATAGGTGGCTGACTATTGCTTTATTTTCAATGTTATAGGTGACTGGCCATTGCTTTATTTTCAATGTTATAGGTGGCTGGCCATTGCTTTATTTTTAATGTTATAGGTGGCTGGCCATTTCTTTATTTTTGATGTTATAGGTGGCTGACTGTTGCTTTGTTTCCAATGTAATAGGTGACTGATCATTGCTTTATTTTCAATGTTATAGGTGGCTGACCGTTGCTTTGATGACCAGATGTATGAAGCAGCCAAGTTGCTGTATAACAATGTGTCAAACTATGCACGTCTGGCCATTACACTGGTTCACCTTGGAGAGTACCAGGGAGCTGTGGATGGAGCACGAAAAGCCAACAGTACAAAGACGTGGAAAGAGGTACATATACCCTGTGTAAACGATGGCACTTAATGCTGTTGTCTGATAGACATTTATATTCTATACTGACATATTCTGTATTTACCATTTTCACTTTGTTGACTTTCATTTCCTATCATGTAGAATTACTAGACTCTAGACTTAATTACGTCACTACCTAGGTAATAATAGAACTCTAGACATATTACTAGGCTACTAAGGTTATTACTAAAACGGTTGACTTACTACCAAATTGCCTAGGTAAATGTTAAAACTCGAGATTACCATGGTTATTACCAGAGTACCATGGTAATTACTGAAACTCTGATTTGACTGCCTGACTTACTGACGACGTAAATTGTAAAGGATTTGTGATAATCGTGTGATGTTGTGTCTTTAGGTGTGTTTCGCCTGTGTGAACAATGAGGAGTTCCGTTTAGCCCAGATGTGTGGACTCCACATAGTGGTACATGCTGATGAACTAGAGGATTTAATCAATTATTACCAGGACCGTGGCTACTTCGAGGAACTCATCTCCCTACTGGAGGCAGCATTAGGTATATTATAGCTGGCTTTAAATGAACTTTGTTGACAAATTGTTGGAACATATGAATCTTAATACATTAATAGTGTAATGTTAACAGTTGAGAGCAATGGTTTACCACAATAGTGCAATACTATAGAAATAAGAACCACTAGGCTCACAGTTGAGAGGTGGTAAACCACAGTAAATAGGCTCACAGGTATTGGGAAGTAAGAAAAGCCATTGACTGAAGGTGTCTGTTACAATGTTCTCAATGACATCAGTCTTATTTAAAAGGCAATTTTCATGAATGTTTGCAAATGTATCTCAATGTGATAAACATAGTCTTTTATTGGAATACCATGCAAGATTTATGAAGATAAACACCAAATATTTGTTTTGTCTCCCAAAAGTCAGAGTAAAATGATCACGACATAAATCTCGGGGTGAGGGAGGGCAAACAGTATTCTCTCGTCTATTTGATTTTAGTAAGGGGAGATAACCAAGTAATGTTTGTATGTAATTTTCTAGCTGAAGAGATTTTTAACACACTGTATCAAGTCACCATCTTGACAGCCCATCAGATAGTTGATTTATTTTTCCCGTTATACACACGTATTATAAAAAGAGTATAAGTGTTTATGAAGTCATTGTTGTGATTCAGCCTCCATGTATTTTTTGTTTGTTTTATAGGTTTAGAAAGAGCTCATATGGGCATGTTTACAGAATTAGCTATCTTATACTCTAAATACAAGCCGGAGAAAATGAGGGAGCACTTAGAATTGTTCTGGTCCAGAGTCAACATTCCAAAGGTAATACATGAATATCTGTACATTTACAGTGTTGTTGTCATCATTGTAGATCTACAACAGTGGTGTTGTCATCATTGTAGATCTACAACAGTGGTGTTGTCATCATTGTACATCTACAACAGTGGTGTTGCCATCATTGTAGATCTACAACAGTGGTGTTGCCATCATTGTACATCTACAACAGTGGTGTTGCCATCATTGTAGATCTACAACAGTGGTGTTGTCATTGTAGATCTACAACAGTGGTGTTGTCATCATTGTACATCTACAACAGTGGTGTTATCATTGTAGATCTACAACAGTGGTGTTGTCATCATGGTAGATCTACATCAGTGGTGTTGTCATCATTGTAGATCTACAACAGTGGTGTTGTCATCATTGTAGATCTACAACAGTGGTGTTGTCATCATTGTACATCTACAACAGTGGTGTTGTCATCATTGTAGATCTACAACAGTGGTGTTGTCATCATTGTAGATCTACAACAGTGGTGTTGTCATCATTGTAGATCTACAACAGTGGTGTTGTCATCATTGTAGATCTACAACAGTGGTGTTGTCATCATTGTACATCTACAACAGTGGTGTTGTCATCGTTGTACATCTACAACAGTGTTGTTGTCATCGTTGTAGATCTGCAACAGTGGTGTTGTCATCATTGTAGATCTACAACAGTGGTGTTGTCATCATTGTACATCTACAACAGTGGTGTTGTCATCATTGTAGATCTACAACAGTGGTGTTGTCATCGTTGTACATCTACAACAGTGTTGTTGTCATCGCTGTAGATCTGCAACAGTGGTGTTGTCATCATTGTAGATCTACAACAGTGGTGTTGTCATCATTGTAGATCTACAACAGTGGTGTTGTCATTGTAGATCTACAACAGTGGTGTTGTCATCATTGTAGATCTACAACAGTGGTGTTGTCATCATTGTAGATCTACAACAGTGGTGTTGTCATTGTAGATCTACAACAGTGGTGTTGTCATCATTGTAGATCTACAACAGTGGTGTTGTCATCATTGTAGATCTACAACAGTGGTGTTATCATTGTAGATCTACAACAGTGGTGTTGTCATCATTGTAGATCTACAACAGTGGTGTTGTCATCATTGTAGATCTACAACAGTGGTGTTGTCATTGTAGATCTACAACAGTGGTGTTGTCATCATTGTAGATCTACAACAGTGGTGTTGTCATCATTGTAGATCTACAACAGTGGTGTTGTCATCATTGTAGATCTACAACAGTGGTGTTGTCATCATTGTAGATCTACAACAGTGGTGTTGTCATTGTAGATCTACAACAGTGGTGTTGTCATCATTGTAGATCTACAACAGTGGTGTTGTCATCATTGTAGATCTACAACAGTGGTGTTGTCATTGTAGATCTACAACAGTGGTGTTGTCATCATTGTAGATCTACAACAGTGGTGTTGTCATCATTGTAGATCTACAACAGTGGTGTTGTCATTGTAGATCTACAACAGTGGTGTTGTCATCATTGTAGATCTACAACAGTGGTGTTGTCATCATTGTAGATCTACAACAGTGGTGTTGTCATTGTAGATCTACAACAGTGGTGTTGTCATCATTGTAGATCTACAACAGTGGTGTTGCCATCATTGAATACAAAAAATGAAATGAAAGCATTGGACTCTGAATTGAAATTATTATTAAAATCTCATGAGGGATTGAAACAACTCTGGCTTATTTCAAATCTATATGTATTTAATTATATAAAGTTTATTGACTAAAATTTGTTTGGCTATCTGTAGGTTTTACGAGCAGCAGAACAGGCCCATCTGTGGCCGGAGCTTGTGTTCTTGTACGATAAGTATGAGGAGTATGATAATGCTGTTATTACGATGATGAGTCACCCAACAGCAGCGTGGCGTGAGAGTCAGTTTAAGGACATTATAACCAAGGTAGCCAACATTGAGTTATACTACAAAGCAATACAGTTCTACCTGGACTTCAAGCCGCTCTTACTCAACGACTTGCTCTTGGTATTAACGCCTCGCCTCGACCACACCCGTGCAGTCACCTTCTTCACCAAGGTCAATGAAATCCCGCTGGTGAAGCCCTATCTTCGGGCAGTGCAAAAGAACAACAACAAAGCAACAAATGAGGCATTGAACAACCTGCTCATTGAAGAAGAGGATTACCAGGGCCTTCGCACCTCCATTGATGCATATGATAACTTTGATAACATCACTCTCGCCCAGCGCCTCGAGAAACATGAGCTCATTGAGTTCAGACGTATTGCTGCCTACCTCTACAAAGGCAACAACCGATGGAAACAGTCTGTGGACCTGTGTAAAAAGGACAAACTATTCAAGGTAAATAAAGGAAACCAAACAGACCATGTAATTCATCTGCACGTTTTACTGCAGAGTACAAATGATCTTTTTATGGATTGAAACTTTAAAACAATTGATTTGTTTTTACTGTGGAAAAAAGTCATTGTCAATACTTTGAGTATATTTTATTCATATAGAAAATTTCTATAATACCAGGATGCAATGTGCTATGCGGGTGAGTCGAGGAACATTGACATTGCGGAGGACCTGATAGCCTGGTTCCTAGAGAACCAATACCATGAGTGTTTCGCAGCCTGCCTGTTCCAGTGTTATGACTTGTTGCGACCAGATGTGATTCTGGAGCTAGCCTGGCGTCACAATATCATGGACTTCGCCATGCCTTACATGATTCAGGTTGTGAGAGAGTACATTTCCAAGGTCAGTATCCAATTTTTCTATAATATTTAAAGAAATAATATTTGTACTGATTAGGGAAGTAAAGGTGACACAGGCTATTGTGGTTTATGTTTTTTTTTTCACTTGAGTCAGTTAATTTTCAAAAGCATTTTTGACCTGTTCTGTACCCACGTGTGTTTCGTCTCAGTCTGGGTGTAATGATATCACCTGTTCTGTACCCACGTGTGTTTTGTCTCAGTCAGGGTGTAATGATATCACCTGTTCTGTACCCACATGTGTTTTGTCTCAGTCAGGGTGTAATGATATCACCTGTTCTGTACCCACGTGTGTTTTGTCTCAGTCAGGGTGTAATGATGTCACCTGTTCTGTACCCACATGTGTTTTGTCTCAGTCAGGGTGTAATGATATCACCTGTTCTGTACCCACATGTGTTTTGTCTCAGTCAGGGTGTAGTGATATCACCTGTTCTGTACCCACATGTGTTTTGTCTCAGTCAGGGTGTAATGATATCACCTGTTCTGTACCCACGTGTGTTTTGTCTCAGTCAGGGTGTAGTGATATCACCTGTTCTGTACCCACATGTGTTTTGTCTCAGTCAGGGTGTAGTGATATCACCTGTTCTGTACCCACGTGTGTTTTGTCTCAGTCGGGGTGTAATGATATGACCAGTTCTGTACCCACGTGTGTTTTGTCTCCGTCGGGGTGTGATAATATCACCTGTGGTGAAATACTGCTAGTTAATATACAAAACTTGACAATATAAATTGATAGTTTTAATGTTTTAGAAGTATTTTCGTACAATTTTAATCTTCATTTTTTTACCAAAATAGTTTAAACTATATAAAATTGTGATGCTGATGTTTTTTGAGTGACATAAGTTCCTGGATGGTAACTCACTGGCTGTATGTATCAGGTCCATGTATTCACAGTTTTAGGAGAAACATCTTTTGTATATTGTTAAATCTTATTCACCTTTTATTTAATGTTGTGTTTCAGGTTGACAAGTTGGAGCAGTCTGAGGCTGTACGGTCTGAAGAGGAACAGAAAGCTGAGGATCGTCCAATCGTATTTGGTAGGTATCTCATTGTCAAAAATGATAAATTTTCAGTTTTTCAGCAAGTCACAAGAAAATTATATTGTTTGATCTCTGAATTCAAGACTAAGCGTGATGATTTCATGAAATCTAAAATGAAAAATGATTATGTTACACTTAATCAAGTGTGTCAGTTAATGGATGTAAAGGCTAATTATGATCATTGTGTTGTAGCGGAGAACCAACTGATGCTGACCGCTGGTCCTGGCACAATGATACCCCCTCCCCAGGCCCCATCTCCCCAACCTGGCTACGGAGCCCAGTACCCACCAGGAATGGTGCCCGGCATGGCCCCCGGCATGGCACCCGGCAATGTTCCATATGGATATAGCATGTGATCGCATCATCTTCATTTGTCGTGTGCTTGAAGAGGTGTGTCGCGACTGAACTTTGTTAAAGGGACCTAAGAACACTGGCAAAAACTGTAGATAGGGACTGGTCAGTCAGGAAATGGGTCAGCCTGTTGGTGACCGATGGATAGGCTAGCTTGGTGAGATTTCTGTTGTGATCCATGCTGGACCTATTAGCCATTAGTAGCCTGTTGATTGGTTAGCTGAATGGTCTTGTGACTAGTGTACGTGTACTGCACCGTGTGTTTGTCCTCCTGTGATTTTCATATTTTTCCTTTTTTTTTATTATGAAATATTGAGATGGCACATATGAGTATTTATGTGATAGATTGGCGGCCATGTTTTACACAGAGGCAATTGTCTGTGAGTATATGAGCCCCATTCATAGTAATTATCATCCTTTGTTTTACTGGTATAGTGGGGTTATCATGGCTGATCACATCAAATACAGCAGGTATTTTTTGTCTGCTTTCATTCTGGCCCCTGTTGTCAAGACACAGAATCCTGGGATATTCAGGACAGTGATCTAGTGTTTAAAGTTAAGGCTCCTCCCATTGAGTTCATTGTGATTAAAACAAGCCTGATTTTCCAGAGAGGTTTCTGTGGCAGACCTGTTAATGTTGACGTTAAAGATATGTTTATAGATTGTTGTCACTGTGCCCTGCTGTGTACGTCTTTGTGGACGTTAAAATCTGCCAGGTCAAAGGTCAATAGTTCATCAAGTGCTTGCTTGGGATCAAATTGTATGTAAGTGCTGCAAGTTGACTTTGGGGTTCCCCCTCATTTCCTTTACTTTTGTTATTGTTTGATTTGAGACACATTTGTTTTGATGAGATTTTTAAATGTCAAATTGTATTTATAGTGTCAGGCGTGTAGAGTAGGACTATTTATTGTGTATCACCTCGTGGTGGCGACACCAACCCTATAGTCACACAGATTTAACACAAGAGATATTGTGTATCAGCTGTGCCAGGTGTAGCTCCAGTCATTCATCATCAGTGTTTCCAGGCCCACTGTGTGTGAACAGATGAAAGGTGTTGAGTGTCTGGCTGTTATCATCTAGTGATTATTATACATTCTAAGTGTTGTGTATGGTATAGACAAAATCAATCTGCTCTCCCCTCCTGCCATTGTACTGGCCCAACTAGTCCATTGTGCTGGACAGAGGTGGACAGGCTGACATTAATTAGTGTACAAATAGAGAGCTAGGGATAAAATTGTATAATTTACTTTGATCACTTGGTCACCCCTGTAGCTGGACCAGTCCAAGGTCATGGGGGTATGGTAGAGGGAGGGGAAACCAGGATATTAATCATGTTCAACTAGAAGTGTGAGGACTTTTTGATGAAGGTAATAGGACCTCAGTAGATGTATGGGTCAGTGAGGGGGCTTTAGTCAGTTTACCGTGAAGTAAGGTTAGTTAGGGGACCTCAGTCTGTGTACCGAGAAGAAGGATTGTTAGGGAACAGTAGTCAGTGTACCATGAAGAAGGATCAGTTAGGGGACTTAAGTCAGTGTACCATGAAGAAGGATCAGTTAGGGGACTTTAGTCATGAAGAAAAGGATCAGTTAGGGGACTTTAGTCAGTGTACCATGAAGAAGGATCAGTTAGGGGACTTTAGTCAGTGTACCATGAAGAAGGATCAGTTAGGGGACTTTAGTCAGTGTACCATGGAAAAGGATCAGTTAGGGGACTTTAGTTAGTGTACCATGAAGAAGGATTGTTAGGTTTATGATTAAGGAGAGTCAGTTGTAGGACTCGGGGGGGTGGTTGGGGGGAAGGTTCTCTTTACTGTTAAGCAAAAATGTCTGTTTTAACTTTTTCTTGTTGAGGAAATGAATTTTGTGAGGAAATCTGTGTGTATAGAGGAAAAGTTGTATAGCCAATCAAACAACCCATTACAAATTACCCAAGTTTTATATATATATATCGTGCATCTTGATTGGACAGAATGATGTTGTAAGGAAATGCCAAGAAAACACATTATATTAGGTAATGTTAGTGTTATGTGTAATTGTATATATACACATACATGTTAAAAAAATGTCTGTTTTTTTTTTCAACTTTTTCTTGTTGAGGAAATGAATTTTGTGACAAATCTGTGTGTACACCCTACCATGTCCACACCCTAAGTTGTACACCCTACCTAGCCAATCAAACAACCCATTACAAATTACCCCTAGTTTTATATATATATATACCAAGCATCTTGACACCCTGGACACCCTACCAAGTCCACACCCTACCAAGAACCCTGATGTTGTAAGGAAATGCCAAGAAAACACATTATATTAGGTAATGTTACCTGTTACACCCTGTGTAACCCTATATATACACACCCTACCAAGTCCACACCCTACATGAGGACACAATTAAAATAAATGTACCACAGTCCACACCCTACCAAGTCCACACCCTACCTAGTCCACACCCTACCAAGTCCACACCCTACCTAGTCCACACCCTACCTAGTCCACACCCTACCAAGTCCACACCCTACCAAGTCCACACCCTACCTAGTCCACACCCTACCATGTCCACACCCTACCAAGTCCACACCCTACCAAGTCCACACCCTACCTAGTCCACACCCTACCTAGTCCACACCCTACCAAGTCCACACCCTACCTAGTCCACACCCTACCATGTCCACACCCTACCAAGTCCACACCCTACCTAGTCCACACCCTACCAAGTCCACACCCTACCAAGTCCACACCCTACCTAGTCCACACCCTACCAAGTCCACACCCTACCTAGTCCACACCCTACCAAGTCCACACCCTACCTAGTCCACACCCTACCAAGTCCACACCCTACCAAGTCCACACCCTACCTAGTCCACACCCTACCTAGTCCAAACCCTACCTAGTCCACACCCTACCAAGTCCACACCCTACCATGTCCACACCCTACCAAGTCCACACCCTACCCAGTCCACACCCTACCTAGTCCACACCCTACCATGTCCACACCCTACCTAGGCTATTTATAGCCTGGACTGAATATTTCACCACTAACTAAAAATTAATCTGAGAAAGAGTCCATGTTACTTTATAAATGTACATTATCAATAAATTTCTAAAGTAAGACATCTGGTATGCTTCCATTCGGCCCAACAAGAGTGATTGATATCAGCTTAAAAACTTGTTTCATAATTGTTGTAAATCAAACAAAGATTTAATCAATAGATATAAAATGTTACAAAATGACGTTTTATTTGACCACTTGTATATACATATAACAACTTCTCTATTGGGAAGATGTTAAATTCTGTCAACTATCTTTCGATTTATCTCCCTTTGTCCATACCCTTTAAGTTTCGCATCCGGTAAGTAACATCGACAGTATGGTCCAATATTAGTACTGGACCTTCTATATATAGAATCAAGTACGTAACATCGACAGTATGGTCCAATATTGGTACTGGACCTTCTATATATAGAATACATGGTATGGTCCAATATTAGTACTGGAATATATAGAATCAAATAACATCGTATGGAATATTAGCGTATTATATATAGAATCTGGTAACATCGACAGTATGGTCCAATCTTGGTACTGGATCCTAACATACAAATGTTCGTTGGATGCGTATTACTGGAATAGATCTATGATCAATGAAGTGATAACGACAGTAAGGACAGGTGAATTGTCAAATTTGCGAGGCAGTCTGTCCCTTTATCAAGATACAAACATAACATAAATTACATCACATGCATATAACATAAAACAGCTACAAAGTTATTAACTAAAATCGAGAACGATAGAGTTGATTTGTGTCTAACACAGTCCGTTCGTGCGATTGACCCCGAACGCCCTTTGTAAGGGGCAAAAACATCTTGGGTGGTATGAAAGATTGTGATTCAAATAATGAAAAAAATATATTTTGTGCCCAATAGCCGCTGGACGTGTATGTTCTCGTAAAGGGGGAAAACAATCCTGTCGCACTCCGGAAAAGTAGGTCACTGGTACCAGCTTTAAATACGTAATTATTGATTAAAAATAAGACTTTTTTATCGTAAATATTTAATGAATGTATGCTTAGTTACAATAAAAAGTGTTCTGGCTAAAAATTACCAATTAAGTACCCACAAAAATACACTAAAACTATTTGAATATGGTCGAAAAGGTCAAATGGGCCTTAAATCCTCGGCACCAATTTTGAACAAGAACGAAAGCAGAGACTTAGGGACTAAATGACAAGTGTATTTAATGTGTTTGGATGGGGCAATCCTAATCCATGACGAGTTGTTTTAATGGTAGCGAGAGATGTACCGACTAACAGGTATGTCTGATCGGATCTGGCTGAAGTAGCAAGATCATCCCTCTTTCATGCAGAGTAGGGGTATATACATACATACATACATGTAATGTATATTTGAATATGGAAATACAAGTGACAAGATAATTTATATATGGTCTTAATTCCACAACAGGATTAAAATGACATTTTAATATTTTCGATTTTTATATGTAAAATGTTGCTGACATGATTCTGAAGTTTGAGTACCACTGTCTCGGAAGTTTATCAGATAGACGTGTAAAGTACTTTTTACTTTTGAAAATTGTATGATAATAGATTTATTCAAAAGTTTATGAAATCTTCAGTACGAAATAACGCTGACTAGTGTAGAGTTATTTTACGGTGAATCCTGATGGTAGGCTTCTTTCGTAAGCATGAACGAGAAAATTATTAAAAATGTGAAAAAAAATTGTATTCCTTAAAGAAATAAAATGTGGTCGGCACACTACATAGATATGAACAAGGCAAGCAGTCTTTATATTACGTCATCGAATTTGTGGTATAAAAGGTTAGTGGTTATTTCAATATTTTGAACAGTTCTGATTACGTGTTCTTATCTTAAAGTGAAGAGATTGATTTAACGTGTATTATATGTAAATACAGTATACACTAAACATTCTATTGAGAATGTTATATGTGTACACAGGATTTAAACATATTTTATTTGTACAAAGTATACAAGCAGGATTGGGCACAAGTTTTCTAACTTATATAAAGCCCTTTCCTATAAAATTTTACAAAATACATATTAACAAGACAAGACGACATGTTTAAATACAATTATAATAAAAAAAAAAAAAAAAAAAGAGAGAGAGTTTAAATAACTTCATGTAGAGCGGTCTCTCCTGATACAAACAACACAAGTAAAAATACAAAACGCTTTTCATAACTTTCAAACTTTTCTACAGTTCATCACATCCCGTGCGAATAGCGCTTTCTCCTGGCATCCGGGTCCTTCAGAAAAAAAAACGTCACTTGTGTCGGAGCAAGGAGAGACCAAATATTTTTACATTTATCACGGAAGGAGGTAGATAGAGAGATAAAGATCAAAACCTGTTTGAATTAAGTATATATTGCTGAGTGATTTGACATATTTTTTACATTATCTTCATATGAGTAGATAATACTACCATGTAGGAGTAACTGCAGGTCTAGAGGGATAAAATTATTTAGTTCTCGGTACAGAATGGCTCTCTGGTCCGAATAAATATTACAAACAAAAAAAAATAGTGGTAAGTATCTTCAACAGGGTGTCCACATTGACAGAAACGATAATCTATTAGATTGGATCTGAAAAGATCATTATTTAAGGTACTGGATTTATTTCTTAACCTAGCGTGTAGTATATTAGCCTTACGACTACCAAGCAAATAATAATATGGAACTAGTGTAGTGGGTCGAAGAGAATGTTTAAAGATAGAGTAAGAAACACTTTGTCTAAGTTCAAGTTCAAGTTGGTTCCAAAGTCGGATAGTGGACGGAAAGAAAGATAAGTTTGTTAGTTGTAGTCGGAAATTTAGTAAAGAATAATTTTGTGCATTACGGAGGTTATATTGTGAATTTTCAGATACTAAAGGGGGCAATAGAGTAGACAGCTAATTAGAAGTGAGATTATTAATTGTTTTGTAGAAAAGCTGTAGTTTTCTTCTAGTGCGTCTTTCTGATAATGGTTCTAGACCTCTCTCAGAATACAGTGATTCTCTACTGGTATAAGAGGGTAAACCAGTGATAATTCTGATAGATTTTTCTAGTTTGTCTGCATCACTGAGAGAACACCCATCCCAAACTTCACAACAGTATTCTAATAATGGAAGTATATAAGCCTTATAGATTTTGATTAAAGTTTGTCTATTTAACATGTATTTTAATTTACGTAGGATACTTACCTGTTTAGATGCATCTTTACAAATGTTTTCTATATGTTTACCCCATTTACAATTCTCATCTATAGTTACACCTAGATGTTTATGATGTTCAACAAAATCGACACTCACATTATTAAATTTAATATCTATGACATGATCATGCTCTATGTTTGAAATAAGTAAGGCTTCCGTTTTTAGGGGATTAAATTTAACAAGCCACTTTTCTGCCCAATGTTGAATTTTAGCTAGGTCGTTATTAATTTTAGTTTCAATGTCCAAAAGGGAAGTACCGGAACATAATAATGAAGTATCATCGGCAAACAGTTTAGAAAGACTTTCAAGGTTATCAGCTATATCATTTATATACAAAAT